ATATGTTTATTAACTCAATAACAACCTAACTGAATAAAATTACTAAACTCACGTCATTAACTATCGTCGGACATTTTTGTTACTAACTGAATATTTTTGTAAGAACTGCCTCCGTGGCTGAACGGTTACCATACTAGACTGCCACGCAGAGGCCCCGAGAGAGGAGAGAAATATTTGTATGTACATTTATTTCTCTCGTGTATGTATGTACCCATGGCACCCACGATACAGTGATAGGTATACCCCCAAGTGCGGGGCCCAAGTTGTTGTATTGTTATTATTGAATAAGCAGTTGTATATCGTTCTATCGTATAATAAAGTCACATGTATGTGAGGTACTTTTATCACATGAAAGTCATAAAAATAATACGCAGTACATGAAACAGCAGCGCTGTTGATACAACAGTGTATTAGGTTAAAAAGTGTATTTATTCTGAATCGATGAAAAGCGAATTGTTCAAATCCTACGAAAGGTGACTCAAATGCATTTTTTTATAAAAAAGTAAGTGCGCATTTGACCTCCGTCTTACCTAATGGAAAGTGACAATGAGGTCGACAATGTAGCATGCACACCTAAACTTAAAATATACCTATTTACCTTGAAAAGGTCCAAGTTATAGCGTTCGGGAAATAAGTTCGCAGGCAGGGCATACCACTTCCTAGCCGCTCGCCATATAAATTTGGTAACGGACCACTTCGCGCGAATGTCCTGGGACTATCCACAACATAGGAGTGGAACCCCAGCCCACGTCACTCCCCCAATGATGGAAAGAGGAAGACGGTATCAAATCATGTAATTCCATCGCACACTCTCCGTGATATATCCTGTAGAATACCGATAAGCAGGCAACTTTACGGCGGTGTTCAAGACTACACAGCTTCGCCTCTACTAATTCCGAGTCACCCCTCTTGGTGCGCTTGTCGATTGAATCCAAGGTGGCCAGTTGGTATTTAGCAAATGTATAGGCTAAAGTTTATAACAGACATGTAAACAATTTCCTACTTGCTAAATATATTCAAAAATAAAAGCTACAAATAATTTCACTTTTTTAGAGTAAGGACTGTTATGTCCAGAACTAGCTCACAAATAAATTGTCTAATTTTGAGTTAAGTAGATATCTTTTAATTGTTTTACCAGTATTCTGACGACGGTTGTATTCACGTGCAGAGATTTAAATTTTACGTTCAGGACTCTTATAATCTTGAATTTCACATATTTTGAGTTTCAACACTGTTGTAATAACCATGCGATATGTAAAATATGATAACTCTCCTATTTCAGTATAAAAAGTTATCGACTAATTACGTTCAAAGAATCTGTAAACCTCTCTCCTGAAAAGTTGTCATTTTACAGATGTGGCCTTATTAACCTCGGAGTGTCATGTGAATTTAACTCATTGACAGAGCGAGTTTGAGACGAGATGCGAAGTTTTAAACCAAAAATACATTACCCCGTTTAATTTATGCACGCTAATTCTTCAAGTCAATGACAAAAAACCAATAAAATAACAAACCGGTGTTACATTTATTTTACCCAGTTAGTTTACTCTATGTCCCTATCTGCTAATCGGTCATAGTGGGCACGAGAGCAGATGAAACAAACTTTGTGTGTGAGATCCGAAAGCACAATGGTTTTGAGTCAGATTGAAATTACCCCCTTTTCACTATGTTGTCTTTACATCGTCCAACTTGTGTCCTGAGACGGTTCAGGGACTTCCATATTGACCATTGCAACTTGTACCGGCGGGGGAAGACTTTCGTTTGGGATGATAAAGTCAATATGAACAGAGAGTTTAGTTTGCCAAAGTTCGCGTCTGTTTTGCTACCTTCTATTGCAGCGGTATGTCGTAGGAAGCTCTTACATCTTAAAGTCGTGCTGGTGGGAGTTTGTGGCCGAATACGGGGTGCCAACTATCAACCTCCTACTTTAATTTATCTACACCACAACAAAACCTGTTAGCGTAAAATAATGAGAGACCCGTGGGCTTCAAGCATTCGATATAATACGTATCCGGTATAATGTTCAGGGCTATGTCGACTTTTGGTTGTAAATAATAACTTTGGTTGGTAATATGTTCAAAGTGACATTTTTTTCAGGAGACAGGCTTACAAATTCTTCAATCGAAATCAGTCAATAACTTTTTAAGTTTAAAAAGGGGAGTTATAGAATTTCACATGTACATACATAATTGTTTCATGTGGTTAGTACCATTTTAATGACTTTCATGCTATAAAAGCACTTTTGACGTATGACGACAAGTGGCTTTATTATAACCAAGGGTACGATTAATTCAGTTTTAAATAATCAATACGACCACATTTACAAAGATTCATTTTGTAGTATCTTCAAACAATTTACATACAGTCGATTGATTTATTTTAATGCGTCACGGCTCTATATTCATATTTCATTTTCTTAAATATAAGGTCTAGGGAACGTTCTGGTTGATACTTTAGAATTAAATTCAACTCTATGCCATTGTATGCCGTATAAGAACGGCTCAAACTTAATATGTTTTTTTTATATTTTCAACTGATGGCGTGGGCGTGGTTACAACATTTAAAGTGCTACTCAAAATTTCAAATAATGCAGTAGAGCTCCTTGTGAAGGAGTTGGTCCAGGGAAAGTATTGCCATCTCACCTATTTCTGCCGTCAAACAGTAAAATGAGCATTACCGCCTTCCGATTATGAACCCTTTCATAACCGGAGTGTTGGTGAAATTACGGGCACATGGGACTTGCCAACTGTCTCAGGGTGATGGGCGAAGTAGCAGTGCCCTGGTATTTGGTAAAGCTCTTGGCCAAGCGCACGACTTGTTTGTCATGTCACCTGATGTCATAAAAATCTGTGAAAACACAACCGTGACACTAACACAAATATTAACGCTAATATTACGAACAGTTGTTAAGAGTAGTGACATAATTAATGTTAACTGTACGATAATATTTAAAATCAAAATAATTTTTTTTTCATTGGTAAGCAAATCACAATTGAAATCGTCCTATTAATTACAATCCAGATACACTAGATACTAATCTACTAATTTCTACTGAACTGCAATTTCTTCCAGCTAATTTTAAGACAGAAAAAACAGTACAGAGTACTAAAAAAACCGACCTCAAAAATCATTTATCCCCTAGTTTGCCACCCTTAGAGGTGGAATATTTTCTTCAAATTGAAATGGAAACATATCAGAGGTACCCACTTTCCAGCAAAAAAAGAATCATAAAAATCAGTTCACAAAGCCGGAGTTATCGCATAGCATACATATGAAAAAAAAAACATACAGCCCAATTGAGAACCTCCTCCTTTGTTTGAAATCGTTTTGCCAAAGTTTATTTCGATTTAAATACCTTTATCAAGTAAAGCCCAGTCGCATAATCGTCGATTAATTTTAAAAGTCAGCTACATGCTAACTTTTGTTATGTAAGGTATAAGGCAAAGTAGTAAACGAACCACTAACCCACTTTATGGGAAGAGATCATCGCCGCCCATGGACATCTACAACGTCAGAGGAGCAGCTTATGGGTTGCCAACCTTTGACAGCACTGTTGACTCGAAGGAAATACTTCAGGATCCCTCCAGACCACTCTACATCTTGCAGGTCCGAGGAAGGAACGAACGTGGTGCCCGCATGGTCTTAGAATTTGCATTCTGAGACCATGCGGATACCTTGCGGTATCAACGATATGGGGATGGACTCTAATCCTTTGGCGGGAATGAAAAGGAAATGCAATGGTGGAAAGGTGAGAGTAGAAATTTATGCTAACATTAATTTCTTCCCGTTAACCTTAAGATAGGCAAATGGGATATGAATATGCATATTTTTAATGACAAAATCAACCTTATCAAGCAAAGCCCGATTGCGTAACCATAGAGTAACTTTAAAAGACAATTGCACAATATGATGCCTATAGTTTTGCTTTAATAAAGAACGGTGTTACAGTTAATGGTGTAATGATTAAAAAATATTTTCTTCTTGCCGACTTAAACTTTAAGTAGTATACATAGAGTTAATAATGCAATAATGCCGTATCCCAATAAAAATGGTAATATATACTCACAATTACAACACTTTTATTATAAATGGGTAATATTCAGGTTAGTTTTCTATACCTTATTTCTGTGGCAATTTTTATTTAGTTGAAGAGTACACTATCGTGAAATAATACACTTGAATATTAAATAATAGAAACTACCACGGAAATAAGATAATTAATCTGAAAATTATCCATATACACCATATTCGTAAAAAGCAAAGTGATTGCTAGTTACAAATCCAAAATGTAGAACAATACACAGTACAATATTTCCAAGGTTTCAGAAGTACGATTATTCACCATATTAGATATACTTCCTTGAAATCTAGGTAAATATGGTCTCTCTATTCATAATTTGAAACCACCGAATCATGTGCAGCACATTTTATTTCAATTTAACCACATACTCATTATACTGAGTGTGTATTCGCTATCGTACTACATTTACTTATAATGTCAATAAGCACACTTAGTAGAGGTGCGCCAATTTTTTCCCTCTCGTACATAAATACTTAAAATAACCTTGTATGTAAATAAATTGTAGAGTCAATCACAATGACGTCAAAATTGAGCAAAATTCTCACATTACATTGTTGCATAGAGAACACACAATTTTACTTAAGTAAACCGTGCAATGTTAGTAAAAAAAACAATACTGAAACTTTTATTGTTTATTTTATTTTATTATATATATTTATATTCCTATGTATGCGTAGTTGCTACTTATCATGAAATCATCGATAAATATGTTCAATACATCGATACTTCTCCATTTATCATAACAGTAATTTGGTATTTATTATAGACATATTATTTGTGTTACATATTAAATGTTAAAAATTAGCGTTAAATTGTGCGATTACACACAATAATGATGAAGTTGACACAGACGGTTAAAGATAACCTATAAATTAATTGTCATTTAACTGTATGTTAAAAGTGTATGTTGTTAACTTACCGTTTTGACCTCTGTGTTGTTTTTAGCGTTTGACATCGCCTTAATCATCCTGCTAGAATTATCCAACAGGCACTTTTGGATGCTCATGGCTGCTTTTTTCACAACAAAAACTATCACAATTCACATTTCGTTAGCACAAAACACAAACACAACTACCCCATGAGGATTGGTAACGATAAGAACAAAATCACATCTTAAAGAAACACTGTTATCGCACGTGTTAGGTTATATCCATTGATTTGACGTAAGAAAGTTTTGGTTTCCAAGCGAGAGGAACACGTGTTGCTCTGTCTACGGTCAGCAAAAGACTGCGGCTGTTAACGCTGGCGCCCCCTGGCAGAGCTAAACAAAGAACGCTCACTAGGTGGATACTGTAACCCAGATTTTAACCGACTCTATATTATACGGTCATATACATTGCGTCAGTTCCCTAGACCTCATGTGCACATGCTCGCAAGTTTATACGCAATGAATTTTAACTACCGTTGACTTTGATTATGTGAATAGAGGGTTATAAGAATAGACCGTCGGTTAGCCCGTAGCCACACCTATCGCAAAAAACGTCGTAAATATGAAACTATAAACCGGAGTAAAGTTTGAGATAAAAATGTATTGCCGGAAACGGACGGAATTTGTAAATTTTAACTCTACTTATGGCCCGGTTTTATGTATAAAATTGAATGCTTCAATCTACTCTACCAAAGAACAGCTGTTATTTTTAACTCCGTAACAAAAGATGTTTGTATTCATGAGATAAGTAGATAAACGGATAAAAAGAGAACATGGGTTTTACTATCTATGATGGTCTGACGGTGTGACGGCCTCCGTGGTCGAGTAGCTTGCACACCGGTTTTCATGGTGTCGCCATCTCTGAGGTTCCGGGTTCGATCCCCGGCCGGGTCAGTGTAGAAACTAACTTTTTTTTGTCCCGGTTCTTCATAACACAAGTGCTCTAGCTACTTACTTTGGGATCAGTGGAACGTTTGTGATGTCGTCTAATATTTATAAAACTTGCTACAAACATACCGATAACTAAGCTTAGGATATCCTTAATAACAAAGTGACCTAATTCGAAATGCTAAATTTTTGGGAAAATAAAATAAATTAAAAAAAATATGAATATTGTATGAAACAAAATTAAATTTTGTCATAGTCAAGATATTTTTCCAAAAAATTACTTTCCGAAATTCACCACTTTATTATCGATAGTTTTCTACAATACAGTGGTTAAAATTGGTTTATATAAAAAATCACAAAAGCATCAATCACCAAAAAGATATTAAAAAAAAACAAAAAGTATCTGGTGCTCTAATCAGACGAATAGTGTGTACTGTACGTATAATTGTAAGTCAATGACTGTACGTGATTATTTTCGGTGTCTTATTTTTTTTTTTACAATACCAAGTGACGCGACGAACAAGTCGTGGGCTTAGATCATAACAGTTGCAGTGCCACTCAGAGCTTTAAACCCCAAAGATCGGAGGACACTATCACTGCGCGCGTCATCCTGACACATACGTAGATAAGTCCCATTTGCTTGTAAATCCACCAGCACCCTACCCTTCAAAACCGGAACGCAGTAATATTCACTTTGGTGCTTGGCGGCAAAAATAGGTAAGGTGGCAGTAGCACCCTGGACGAACTCTCTTACAAGGAGTTCTACTTGTACTAAAATATTATTAAATATCTTATTTAAAATAAAACACAAAGTCAAAGTTAAATAAACCATATTTCATAAGTGAGTAAATTACACATGAAATCGTCATATTGATAAACTCTATTACTCATTCGTAAGGCAGATTCAGAGAATGAGCAAAAAACTCAAGGAATTGCTCTTTGTACATAACATTTGAACACATTTATTATTTATTTCAAACGTCACAGATCGGACCACGGATTTTTGTCACCCAAGTACATAGAAGCAATATAAATAACGTTTCGTGATTAGAAATAGAAATCTGGACATATGAGTGGCAGCTGAAAAGTAAGCTGCCTATTATTGGCTTAGTCGATGAATGGCCAATTCGCAAAATGGCTACTAGCTAAAATGAGGGCTATTTCGCGGAATGACTAGTTCTGAATATGGCATTATATACATATTACGAAATAAAAGATGACCATGATTAGTTTTTTTTTTTCAGTATGAAATGTACATTGGAAATGCATTTATTAAATTTGTTAGAAAGGGACGTTCAAAGTTAAAAAGGTTCTGTTAAAAAAGTTCTTGCTCATTTTTAAACATTTTGCTTTTTCCTTCCGCCATTTTGTCCGTGTAAAGTATAAATAAAAGAGTGTCACTAATTTCGAAAGAAGAATAAACAACGAATGCGTCACGATGGTAGCCAGAATTATTTTTGAATTAGAAATGGTATTAAATGTTGGCATCAATTATTTTGTCTCGATCTAGGTTACGTTCACAGGTAACTGTGTACAATATCTAGTTTACAATTCTTGCAGAGCTTTAAAATTCTCTTCTTAGAGGGACCTGTGTCTAATCTATACTAGCCTGGATTGTAAAGTCATGGTACATGATGCTAAGCAAAATTATCAACAATCTACATGAAACAATATCTTTATTTTTTGTTGTAACCTAATTGATTTATGATTAAATTAACGACAATGTCTCTGACAACATAATTACCCGTGAATTGAAATAATGATATTGTCTTTAACAATTTTGCTCCAAGTATCATGAGAATCAAATCAACCATATTTTTTTCTGACAGCGTTGTATATATTTTCTGTTAAATAAATAAAATTAACGAAGATGTCTTTGACAAGTTAATCGTGTTACTAGAGAATCGAATTAGTGACATTATTTGACAACCTTGCTCATAGTAGTATGAGAATCTAATTAACGATATTGTATTTAAGAACAATGCACATACCACTTTTAAATAAATGAAATTATTTATTTCATTTGTTTAAAAGTGGTATGTTTTCTCTGACAACTTTGCTCACATTACTAGACAGTCAAATTAATATCGTCTTTGACAATTTTGCTCATAGTACTATGAGAATCTAATTAATGATAGTGTATCTAAGACGATGTACATACCACTTTTAAATAAATTAATTAAACAATATTTTCTCTGACAACTTTACTCACGTTATTAGATAATCAAATTAATATTGTCTTTGACAATTTTGGTCATAGAACTATCTAATTAACGAAATTGTATCTAAGAACAATGTACATACCACTATTAAATAAATTAAATAAACAATATTTTCTCTGACAACTTTGCTCACGTTAATAGATAATCAAATTAATATTGTCTTTTACAATTTTGCTCATAGTACTATGAGAATCTAATTAACGATATTGTGTCTAAGAACAATGTACACACGCCAGCACATCAAGCTACACATTGACGTATCTTGTTCCGTTGCAAGGGAGGCGATTTTGGAACAAAAATGTGTAGCCTGGTGTGCCGTTGTCCGTACATACCACTTTTAAATAAATGAAATGAATAGTATTTTCTCTGGCAACTTTGCTCACGTTACTAGATAATCAAATTAGTATTGTCTTTGACAATTTTGCTCATAGTAATATGAGAATCAATTTAACGATATTGCCTTTGCCAACTTTGCTCATAATACTGTAGTTAGGGACGACATTGACTCTGACAATGCATAATTATTTCTAGAACCAAATTAACGGATGTCTCTGATAATTTTACTCATAGTACAACTTTACTTAGAAACTTTACCAAAATTTTGGGTTAATAGTTGCTAAATTCGTAAAATTCATGTATAATGATAGTTATATGACCTCAACACTTTCCATAGAGGAAACTCATGCCCATTAGTGGGATAATATTTCAGAAACTTTTACAGGCGTGTGCACAATAAACCTCGAAAGTTTTAATGCAACTAGATGATAATGGAATGCATACGGGATAAAAAACAGACATACATAAATGTCTTAATAAAAATACATTCATTTTTACATAAACATATTTTTATCAATAATCAAAGCTTTCTTTTACTTATGTATATTTAGATTAAATTATGATGCAATGAAATTTATCTGAAACTTGTCTTATCGTGATATACTTAAGTGAATAATATTTTATGCAATCATTGGATAATGAGAGTTCTTAAAGTCGATTACCATGTCTTGTCGAGTGGTCTAAATAATAGGTAAGAGATTTTAAGACCTAATTACGTAATCGTTGCATATAATTCTTTTTCTAAATTAAAATAATTAAACACAACCAATATTTAAAGATCATTTGATAACAATCAACGACAACAAACTCAACGGAAGCCAAACAAACGCTACAAAAGAAAAAACCAAAGAGATAGAATTGACGTGTCCGTGATTGGCCGCTTATATTTTAACCAATGAGAAGGCAATAGAGAGTTTGAGTAGTGTTATATATTGATATTTTAAATGCAAAAATATGATGTTCGTTTTTTTAAACACATTACAGTTCTGTGTACTGTGCCTCTACCATGAATTGCCATAGTAACGTAAATTAAGTTATTTACGTTACTTTATTTAGTTAAGTAATATCAGTAGCATAATATAAACGCGCATCGAATAATTTTCGATACTTGCTGTACCATTAGCTCCCCAAACGCTTCCCATTCCTCCTGTAAGCTCGATAGCTTTGACAGTTTGTAAAGTATTCATGCCATTACGTTGGAATTCTTGTAGAAAGATGACAAATTTCGTGTTATCTATTTCGTATTAGATACTAAAGACGGAGAAAGAATTATATTTGCTCAAAATTACCTCGTATTTATAGCTATTAAATTAAAAATTTATCTATTTCTTCAAATAATACGACTAATTACAATAGTCAATTGTAAATTTTACGAACGAAAATCGATAACTTTGCTTAACTGTGGTTATACGTATAAGAAGATATCAAAATTTCACATATACGTGATTTATTTTATGTAGTTCGTATTATTTTTGTGACTATCATGTGATAAAAGCACTTTTCATGTATGATAACATGTGGCACTCAACATTAGGCTTGTTTTCCATTATGACGCACAAGTCGTACGCCTGGTATTATGGGACACGCCTGTACATAGCAGTTGCAGTGCCAC